GTAGTTTATAAAATAAGTGTGGTTCATTAAATTATGATATTAAATCGTATAATATGTTAAATTTTGACATTCAGAGAACCGATAACATCATATTATAATACAGTAAATATTGATYAGAATATATGATATTCTAATAGTGGTATAAACAGAGGTTCTCAAAATGTTTGACAGTCTTGAAGTTTCGAAACTAAAATATGAGAAAACCTAACAATAATAATAATAAATTGTGATTATTACAAAAATTAATAATATTGAGATTAGATGTTCACGACGCGATGCCGTAGCGTCACTTGATCAATGTTTTGAAACATAAGGATCTCCGGTGCACAGTTTGAGAACCTCTGACCTATTTAGTTATATTAATCTACATTAATATGTAAACACGTCATACTTCGGTTATATTGGTTTAGAATATTATTATAGCATCATATATAATTCTGAGCTATCGAAGTGAACTAATTTCTTCAGTTTTTTTTTTTTCATATTGTGTAAAATAACAAAAAATAATATTAATCATTAACAAATTATGATGTACAGATTAATATTGTTTGTAGTTTTCTATAATGTTTTTTGTACCACCAATGCAGATGTTGAAATGAACGTTCATCGGTAATACTAATAAAAATATTTTATTAAATAACATTAAATAAATTAGCTAATCTCTCTTAAAACATAAAACCATACCAATAAAGTATATAAGAAATACTTAAGTAAAAAAGGTTTTTTTTAGCATACCGTTAGTCAGACGAAAATCACCGTTGGAGATGTTAATTAAGGATCCACATTACACGAAGAAATTAAATATTCAAAAAACTCATCCAACAAATGAGAATATCACTCTATTCAAATATTTGGACGTAAGTATTATTACGTGTTGATACAATTCAAATTTTTAAATTAAATATTTAATACAAAATAAAGTAAAAATGAATCCATTTCTGAAGTTGACATAAAAATAAAAATCGGAGAAAATAAATAAAATTATTTTCTTAATTACTTTTGAATTTCAGTAAATATTTTAATACAAGGATAGCGTTTGCAAACTATGAAAAAAACGTAAATAGCTTACGTCATAAATACGTAACGTCATACGTAACTCAAATACAATTTAGCGGATGTCAAAATCTTAAATTATTTWTTTTGTATCATTATAGTTTTATAAAATCATAATCATTCGTTGAACATTAACGTATTGACGAAGAAAAGTACAAAATAATTTGTTATAGCCATAGTTTAATCGTTCCATACT